CTTGGAGCCGTGAATATTCGGTTTGGTCGTCGACGTGGAAGCATGGGAACTCCCTATGATTTTCTGCGCTTGGGATTATCGTAATGAACCCCCAGTCACAATGCGATGCAGAAATCCCTTCCATCTTTGCCTTTCAAGCAGCTGTTCACAAGCAAACAAACGCCGTTCAACATTTCTCGGCTTCAATTCTTACGGCACCCAATTTCCTTGCTTCTGAATCATTCCCATGGCTTTGAGGCGTTTTGAAATGGCTTGTTGAGTCACTCCCAATGATCGTGCCAATTCTTCTTGATTTTGACACGAGTCTTGCTCAAGTAATGCCTCCAATTCTGCATCTTCGATAACCTTCTCTCTTCCACCGCTATGCTGGTCTTCGACGTCAAAATCACCGTTCTTGAAGCGTTGAAACCACTCACGACACGTTCTTTCACTAATAGCGGCCTCACTATAAGTATTTGAGAGTATTCGATGAGCCTCAGCCGCAGATTTCTTCATATTGAAGCAAAAAATTAAAACCTCCCGCAAATGATGAGAATTTGGCTCGTAAACTGATATTTTCATTCGAGAATAACTTTATGATGTAGACACAAATCGACTAATGTTTCTATGGGGTTATGTTGACGGATGCCCAAGTTTATTGTATGACGTCTATGATCTATTTATTTCGACCACTTACCGCTAAAACCATCTATAGGAAAACGGCGGAAGCAAAGTTGTACACCTAATATTATACATACTATACATATTGTATATATGATATAATTGAATATAATTACATACGCGTCTCTAATAAAACACTTCTCGCTAAACAAACATCGTTAATTATCTTATTCGCTTATTTATATTATTATCTGTAAGAAAAATAATTCACTTCAAAGTAAATTTTCTTATTGGCAAGTAAAAGCAATTATACTTTTTCAAAACTACAATTTATTTGATATATTAAAGGCTTCGATCCGCTTCCTTTCAATTAAACTTTCAAGTATTTCAGAGATTTCTCTGAAGAAATTTTGGTAATTATATAGTTTAATACAACCACAAAAATCAATAAAATTAGGCTTATTCGATGTGTTTTTGCATGAAATGAAAGAATGAAAGCAAAAAAAGCGTCTCCCTGTGAGCCGAGATATTGACTGTTAAAGTGTTACTATCGCAAATCATTAATGTCTTATCGGTTACACCCGAACAAAAAACCTATCCTATCCGCTTGGAGTTTAATCACAGACTTTTATATTTAGTATTTTTATATATACTAGACTGTTAACTCCTTAGGAAGGTTTATGTGAAATGAACCCTGAAATTGTAATTTTGCGCATACGTCATGAATACCAGATGTATAAGCTTAAATCCACTGTTTGCTCATAGGTGGCATTAGTGAGCGTACAAAGCTACTGGGCACACAACACACTTTTTTTATGTGTTTGACATCTGTCAACATTAACCAGTGCGCATCATCAGCAATTTCATACAACAACATACATTTTTTCTTTCGTAATCATGTCTAGTTTTTTGCTAAAAAAAAAAGCCCATGCGGGAAGCTTTGCTTTTCTGTTTCAATTTGAAGAAATCGGCTGGCGAATCGCATCGAATGTTTGTGGAGACCTATGGCGACAATGCTTTATCGGAAACAACGTGCAGAGATTGGTTTCGCCGGTTCAATGACGACAATTTTGACCTGAGTGACAAGAAGCGTGAAAATCGGCCCAGGAAGGTTGAGGACTGTCAATTGCAGGCTCTTTTGGACGAGGACGATACCCAATCGTAAAAAATGCTTGCTGAGCAATTGGATGTTTCTCAAGCAGCCATTTCCATGCGGCTACATGCCATGGGGAAGGTTTAAAAGATCGAAAAATGGATGCCGCATGAACTGAACGATAGACAGATGGAGCAACGCCAAAACACAAATTCTGCTTGCCAGACAAAAAAGAAAGTCGTTCCTGCATTGGATTGTGACAAGCGATGAAAAGTGGATCTATTTTCAGAATCCTTAACGCAAGAAATCTTGATCTCGCCCAACCATCAACATCTTCCTCAAGACCAAATCGCTTCGGACGGAAGACGATGCTGTGTGTTTGGTGGAATTAGGAGAGTGTCGTCTACTACGAGCTGTTAAAATCTGGTGAAACTGTTAATGCTCATCGCTATCACCAACAACTGATCAAATTGCACCGTGCTCTGCGTGAAAAAAGGCCGCATTATCGGAAAAAGCATGACAGGCTGATTTTCCTCCACGACAACGCACCATTGCACACGTCAACAATAGTTTAGTCCAAAACTATTTGGAGACACTCAACTGGGAAGTGCTACCCCATCCCGTTTACTCACCAGACCTGGCACCTTCTGACTATCACCTGTTTTCGTCGATGGGCGACGTGCTGAGCGGCACTTCGATTCTTACGAAGACATCCGAAAATGGCTTGATGAGTGGTTTGCCTCGAAAGATAAGGAATTTTTTTGGTATATACAAATTGCCCGAAAGATGAGAAAAATGTATAGCGAGGGCAAGTACTTTGAATAAATTTGTTTTTGCTTCCTAGGAAAAAAAAGTGTTTTTCTGACTAAAAAACAGCGGGTTTAAGCTTATACACCTGGTAGATGTCTGTGAATGAGAACGAGTACTATTTTTTAATCAAAAAAACAGTAAACAGTAACGGTAACGAGTTATTTTTATGAGAACGTTGCCAACTCTGCTTCCTTCCTATTCCCAGAGTTCGGGGAGTTCTATTCGTGCTATGAACGCAAACGCTATCAATGTTGTTCTTGGAGCCAATCGCGCGATAGCGTTAGCAAGCTCCATGAAGGATCCTAGCGTATCGTTGGTAGCGTAATCAGAGAGATATATTCATCGAGGTTAAGTTAATGTAGGAGATTCTGTTTTCAATCACCAATCAAACTTTTCTCTATAATTAAAATCTTTAAGGTTTTGTGAAGTATTTGTAACGTAAATTTTTTATTTTCTCTTAGTGAATAACAGAACACCATGCTCTCAATTGCAATCTCTATGATAGCTTGCCAAAGTGAACAATATAGAAACTAGAAAAAATTAATAGTTACATTAAGTAAATTAATCAAACAAAAGGAAGAACCTTTGTGTATTCGTTGTCGATTTCAGAAGAAGAAGCATATCTACATCTAATAAGAATCTTAAGCATCTACAGCGAAATATCCTGCCACGTTATACCGCAATAGTAACTTTTTTTCCGTACACGGGAATTAAAAATTGTCAGTAACAAAATACCTCTGATTTTCACATTTATAATAAAATCAAATACACGAATTGCACTTCGCAGAAACTGAAAAGATGCACAAGCAAGAATTACGTTCACTCCAACCTCCAGTGTCAAGCTATCAGCAGAGATTAAAATTGAGATTGCATTCGTATGATAAAATTTGAGATTCACACATTACGTATGTAATGTTACTCTACGAAATTTTAAGAGAGAAAAGTTTGGTGACACTCGAGAACAGAATCCTCTTAAACCTAACGACGAATGTTAAACGCTACCAACGTTACGCTAGGGTCGTTCACAGATTTGTAAACGCTAACGCTACCAATATACTACCTCGAAAGAAATAGAGTTGATAGCGCACAGTTGTGACACGCTATCATTAGTGATCATGTTTGTTAGCGCTATCTGCAGCTCTGCGAACAATTTGTAGCGAATAACGTTTCTCCGAACGCATCCCTAAGCTATATTCCAAAACTTTCCGAGGAAAATTTTATTCAAAATATATAGTACACGTAATAACGTATACTATATAAACGTATAGTATAGAATCTTCGTTCCAGAGAGGAAGTTTTGGAACGTAGCCCTAATATCTAATATTTATTCCTATTCCTCTATTGTGCCCTTTAACAGGTAGAGTAAACGAATATCTGCGGCAATAACTGCATAAACGAACGTATCCAGATTTTTAGTACTGGCAGTGAATATTGGAACGTGCATAGAACTAATCAGCGTTATTCTGCGTTATTTCGAATAGCACTAATTGGTTGTTTCAATGGGCGAGTTTAAGATAGCAAAGTGGCTAAGCATGCTTACCGAGCGATTGAATATGATTGGTTTGATTTATAAATAATAATCAATTATGCTCATTTGCTCATTGGTGAGCAGGCTAGCCGCTTTCTAAACTTTAACGCGCCCAATAATGCATTTTCTATTTCGCAGTCGTTTACCGCACATATGATTTCACCTTATGCTGGATTCATACTGGATCGGACATGCATCGTATGATGTTCTACAACCAGAAAGCAGAATTTTATTTCGTATCGATGATACGAAGCAAAATCCAGGATCCTTATTCTTGAAAAGAAACATATACGAAATATTAGAAAAATATTATAGTATACATTACGTATACTATAGTATTTCTCTCTTCTTTTTTTTCGTATAAATTTCTTTTCAAGAATAGAGGCCCTGTTTTCTGATTGGTTGCAGAGCGTCATACGACGCACGTCAGATCCAGTGTGAATTCAGCATTACGCCTTGTTATATAGATATAGATTAGTCTTTCACTTCACTATCATTTCTCACTCGTCGAGAGAGAGCTCCATGTTTATGTTAAACAATTTGATATAATTGAGGTATGTTTTCTTGTGATTGAGCTAATATACTTTTGGAAACTTAAGTAAAATGACATGTTTGATAAAAGCAAGCATATTTGACAAAAGCAAGAAATCAAGTTCTAAGTGCAGTCTAATGCAGGAATAAAAAACAGTCTTTTGGTAACCTTTGGTGTTTCGGACCAGTAAGAGTAACTACGAGCGATTCGTTGCTTGATTTGCAACATTAACCCGTTTGAGATCTTTCTTCTGTAACTTGATTAAGAGAAATTCAGCGGTGGTTCGCTCGCTCAATGCATCGATCACGGCAGTGAAATCTCAAGTGCCGACGACGACGACAACAACCCGTAAGTACCATGTGTGGCATGTAATTTCTTTCACACCATGTGTATGCAGTCTTGATTCCTGTTACTTGAATCTCGTGTTCATTTGACAGCTATTTCATGATTTATGTCACTTTTATGAGTCTTAAAGCACTAACCGAGATTGCAAAGACTCTTACAGGTAGGAACAATTAGCAATAGCTGCATTTTCAGTAAACAATTTCAATTAATTTAACTCCACATTATACAATGGCCGAGTCCAGTGACTTGGATCGGCAAATCGAGCAGCTTAAGAAATGTGAAATTATCAAGGAGGCTGAAGTCAAAGCTCTGTGCGCAAAGGCGCGAGAAATTCTGATTGAGGAGAGCAATGTACAACGTGTTGATTCACCTGTGACAGTAATTATTTCTATTTCTCATAAAAAAAGCAATCAGATTGTCAGAATCAGAATTATGTTAAACATGTTAAATCTTACACGGTGTTTTCTTTAGGTTTGTGGAGATATCCATGGACAGTTTTATGATTTGAAGGAACTATTTAAAGTAGGTGGCGATGTGCCAGAAACAAATTACCTTTTTATGGGAGATTTTGTAGACCGAGGTTTTTATAGTGTTGAAACATTTCTTCTTTTACTTGCATTAAAGGTATGCCAAAATATAAAATAATATGAACCTAATGATCTTAAATGTCTGAATAGTGATTAAGAAGCAAAAACAGGTTGCTTTTTTATTTTATATATGTATGAATTTTAATTTATCTTTATATTTGAATACAAATTATTTAAGAGGAATTAAATCTAAAATAGCTGACAGATATGCTATTATAATTATAGTTCATGTCCTGTCACAGGTCCGTTATCCTGACAGAATTACTTTAATAAGAGGAAATCATGAATCACGGCAAATAACACAAGTTTATGGGTTTTATGACGAGTGCTTACGCAAATACGGCAGTATAACAGTATGGCGATATTGCACAGAGATATTCGATTATTTATCATTATCTGCTATTATCGATGGCAAGATCTTTTGTGTTCATGGTGGATTATCGCCTAGTATTCAAACATTAGATCAAATTCGAACTATCGACAGAAAGCAAGAAGTGAGTTACGTTCTGTTTATCATAATTTCTTTTCTAAAAATTAATTCTTAAATTCTTTTATAACAATCGAATTGATATTTATTTATTTTGCCTTATTGATGTTGCAGTTTTAATATATTGTTTGATTGTACACACCTCATAGATCTGTGACTGTGTATGTTTCAAAGTCTTCAAACTGATTTTATTAAGGTGGTTCTTTAGTAAATCGAGTTATTAGAAATGTCTATTTTCTTTATACACATAATGAAGTTGAAGTATTGAACTTGACGTGTGCAAAATTCTAGAGTAGATTAATGATGAAATGAGAGAGAAAAATATTGAAAATGTAACTTTTAATGTATAACTTAGTGACAGGTAAGGATTGGAAACATTTCTTTGACTGCACACAAATATTGCCAAAGATCTTTCTAAAAAAAAAAATAAAATTATAGTTTAAAAAATTATGATTGTAATGGTTATGAACAAGTAATAATAGGTCAACGGCATTCTAGAAAGATATTTAACCCTTCGTGATCGTACTTTCTGAGAATTTTATATCGCCCATATAGGGGACAAAATTGCTAACACTTCATTGATTGCTATATTTACAACTTTTGTTCTTTAAAATCACAAAAATTATTGAATTGTAGAACATGGAAATGAAGTGGTAGTTTCAAAAAATTTTAATTTTAACATATTAAAAAAAATTGCAAGGTAAAAGTTCTTGAAAGATACACTTTTTTATTAAAAAGAAATCATAACTTTTTAATTTTTAATTTTTTTACTTTTGATAAAAATTTATGGCTATACTCTACAGATATGATACTTAGAAAAAAAAAATAGTACAATAATTCATGTTTCAAAAAAGGTATTTATTCTGAAGAATAAAAGAAACTGGTTTTTAAAATAACGAAGTGTGAAGTTATTATATAAAAGAGTATTTATTTAACATAAGAATATGACTTTTTTTAGAGATGTAAAACCTCTCGTAAAATCTTTGTGGTCACTGGAGAAAAATTTTTTTAGAGTTCTTTGGACTCTAGGTGACCACAAAGAGTTAATGTTAAAATGGCAAGATATTAAGATTAACATAATCTCAACTTATTTTCGTTTGGTGAAAATATAGCTCTTGATTTTATTGCAATAATTTTTTCCTTTTCTCTTCAATTTTCTTTTTACAATATTTCTTTATAAAAATCTTGCTTGCAATGCACATTGTAATTCGACAATGTAATGTTACCAAATTATCATAAAAATAAATTGTACAAGAAGTATCTTTTTCTTTTAATACTTGCACGCTTTCGTGTATTTTGTACTATTTAAGATATAGACAGTTTTATATAGTTTTAATGTTATCCAATTTATGAAGATGTTTGTAATTTTGGGTTGTAATGGCACCCCAAATTTTCGATCCTTTACTAAAGAACCATTTTAAAATTACTATTTTTATAAAAAGAAAGTATAAGCTTTTGCAAAAAAAATTCAGAATTGGTATTAGTTCTAACTATTAATGACAGTGTCGGTATCAGAAAAAGCAGCTTTGCACAATTATTATAAGATTCTTTAATGTGATTGATTTTTAGTCCGGATAAGGAACTAAGAATGAAGCAATCATATTATAGATTTACAACAATTGTAAAGCTATTTTTTTTTACTGAACGCAGCCACATGATAAAAAGCTACATAATAATATTGTAATGTTACTGAACTGTCCCTAAAGTTACAAAATTAATTTCAAGAACTTGTTTGCTCTATGGAGAATTAGATTTTATTTTAATTTGTTTATTGATATTATTGTTTTCTATTCTCCATGACACATTACTGTGATTGGTTTATTATTTCTAGTATTTTTATATCTTGAAACTTATTATTAATTTTTTATCAGTAAAATATTTTTTAAGTGGCTCTGATAGTGCTGTTGTGCTGAACACGGAACTTTCATATCGGTCCAGTTATGTAATAATACAAAACGTGAATTTTAACGTGAAAGAAATTACCATAAAATTATTAATTCAAATAAACATTTAGGGCTATATCATTTATAAACTATTTCACTGGCAATAGGTTTATTTTATGTTCCTGCATTAGGATTGCACTAGAACTGAACTGAACTAATGCAATCCAAAACGAATTAAGCGTGCAGGCAAGGAATAAAAAAGTGGAAGTTCTAGTGCAAGATAAAAATGATGTCCCATATTGTTTACATGGAAGTATTAGATTCGTGATGAAAATAAAAGTCTTAATGCAATTCCATCATTTAAAAAATTTTTAATCAAAAGATTTATTTTCTGTTCCTGCACTGGTTGCACTAGTTCCAAAACTGTACGTTAAAGCATTTTCTGTTCCTAAAATGATGTCAGCGATGCTATTTTTTGTTTCAGTGCAACAGAACTCAGTGCACGAGTTCATTGTACTGGCTGCACTAGATCTGAAGTCAATAGGCCTATTCTTTTTGGCCAAAAAGCCTCTTGTACATTCACTGACTAAAAAATTGCAACATTTTTTAATGGATTTCGGAATGCAGTCTGCTCACTGAGCGATTAGTTCTTACTTATGAATCCGTAAGTAGGTGAGTAGACTACATTTCGAAAGCCATAGAAAAAAATCTGTTGCAACCTTTTAGTCAATGAGTGTACAAATAGTGTGAGAGTTTGAGTAATAAAAATATATGTAAAAATGATAGCGAGTCTACATACAAAAACATTTTTGTACACTCATCATTAACATAAACATCATCATCTTTAATTAAGAATTTGGTTAATGATGGAATTACTTTGGTGCTTTCATTTTCATCACGCGAATCTAATATTTCCTTGTAAATAATATGGGACGCCATTTTTATCTTACAGTAGAACGTTTTTTGGAAGAGAAGAGAAGAAAGTGAAAATGTTGAGTGCAAAAACTGCATGCAATGCGAACACACCTTAGGTCTGGAGTCAGTGCAAGCACTAGTGTACGCTAGTTCAGTCACAGAAAACAGACTTTGTACAAGTGCGAGAGTTTATGAGTAATAAAACGATAAAAATATAAATGATAATAAGCCTACAAAAACATTTTGTATCATCATTATCTTTAAGTTTGTTTTTTGTTCCTGTACAAAATTGCACCAGAACTGAATTGAGCTAAACTAATCCAGAATTGAGTGTAAATATGCAGGCAAGGAATAAAAGGCCTGTTCTTTTTGGCTGAACTTTTGCATCAGTTCATCTTTCTTCTTTTTCTCTCCAGGAGGAAATCTTTCCATTTTTCATTACATATTCTTGTAGCTTACCTCGAGAATTTTTCAAAACAATATAATAAAATATATTTTTTCATTTATTTTGCGTGTTATAAGACTTGAAAATTACCGTCGGGGCATTAGCATTACCTAAGGTGCAATTAGCATCGATCAACGGCTAAAACCTCTTGAATGAATCATAACCTGGATAATATTTGTCAAGATCAATGCAAGTTGTACTTCTTATTTTCATTTTTAGATAGAAATTAATTTTTAGTATAAAAATGAAAATAAAAGGAATAATCTCCAATGATTGATCTTGACAAATGTTATCCAGGTCATGATACTGAACAATATTCAAGAGATTTTAATCATCGCTCGGACACTTTAGATAATGCTAATGCTAACTTGTTCTGGAAATAAGCTATAAAAATATGTAATGAAATATGGAGGGTTCCATTTAAAAATATTCAAAGTCTTGCCCTCATCTTAACAACGCCATCTAAGATCAAACCAATATTATGTTATGTTCCCATCAAAGTCCCAAAACTTTTATTTGAAACATTTTTCCTTAACGCATTGTTCAAGAGATATTTGAGGTGATCAATTAAAATGGGACATCCTCTATATCTATCTTCTTTTAAGTGCAAAAATATTTGAAGATTAAGCAACGCGAACAGACTGTACTAATGCAGCCAGTGAATTTTCATGCTGAGTTCTGTTGCACAAAAAACTGACGCCATTTTGAGAACAGAAAACGCTTTAACGTATACTTTTTGAACTAGTGCAACCAGTGCAAAAACAGAAAACAAACCTAATATAAACCTGATTTATTATCTTATTATGTTTATTTTATTGACTTCTGCATCAACTTTGTTTATAACTATTTTATCAATTTGACACTTTTTATTTTTATTTAATTTACACTAATTTTTATTTATATGACATACTAAAGATGGCTTGATTTCGGCCGAAACATTTACGATTAATTCTTCTATTAATTGTTAACGGAATTATTTTAAATACAAAACTTTCAGCAGAAAAGTTTCAGCGTTGTTCCTTTTATTTATTATGTTCTTTTTATATATTTTTGAATATTTTTTATTCAAAATGCTTAATATTAAAAATTCGGGACAGCAATAAGTCTTGGTATTGAACTTGAATCTTTTGTGTTTGATGAACAATTGCCCTATTCATCACCGCATAGTTTCAATATCAATTAAATTTTATTATATTTAAAAGTTTAAAATCTTTGATTTTTTAAGCGTTGAAGTGTTACATACTTCCCGTTTAATGATGCAGGTTCCTCACGATGGACCAATGTGTGATTTACTATGGTCAGATCCTGAGGATACCCAAGGCTGGGGCGTGTCGCCGCGCGGCGCCGGTTATCTCTTTGGTAGCGACGTGGTAGCTCAGTTCAATTCTGCCAATGATATCGATATGATATGTCGAGCTCATCAACTAGTAATGGAAGGCTACAAGTGGCACTTTAACGAGACTGTATTGACTGTCTGGTCTGCACCAAATTATTGTTACAGGCACGTAATATCTTTATTTGAAATTTTTCTCTCTAGTAAAATTTTAAATATTGTAAATTACATACAGGATGTCACAAAAAAGTCAAAACACTGGATTACACTCGGAAAGATGCATTTTCGGAAAAAAATATTCATATAAAATTCGTATAAAGTTTCAGGGTACGGAGTTACTCATCGTATGATGGGATAATATCATCGTATGATGATATTAGTTAGTAAACAATAAGAATAATATTAGTTAAACTGTTGTATCTCTCATAAGAATAATAACGAGGATTCTGTGAATTTCTAACCCTTTAGGCCGAAGAGTTAGAAATTCACAGAATTAATGTTTGTTAAAAAGTTTTAATTACAAATACTTTACAAAATGTCTTGTCGGTGATTTGTCTTGCGGTCAATGATGTTGCACAGCTCGGTTATCGCATTACCAAGAGATAATGTTGTACTGTTTCATTCACTATATAGTGTGACACTTTTAGATCATAACTTATCCTTTATAACTTACTTTTAGATTATAACATATTTGATGTATGTACGCTTATTACTCGATTTCTGAATTCTTCGTTCACGATAGGAGTATACTAATCTAAGATACTGAGTTGGTCAGCTGATTTCAATCTTGTCCTGATTCCATTGTCAAATGCGGTCGGTGCTGACCAATTGCATTTGGCAATTAATTGAAATTATGTGACACCGTATGGAAAGAGTCATGCGTGATTGTGACAACTGTACTACTTGAACGTACTCCTTTTAGTCACAAATCGCGAAAACGTTTTCGAAATTATTTGAATTAGACCGGTATTCTGAAACTTACGGTATTCTTTAACGCAATCGTGTTACTTCTTAATTAAATAATGTTCTATTCTAAATACTAATTGTAATTATGGTTATAAAACAAGATTTCGAACGATTTTGAGAATGTTAAGATTACCTTGAGTTTTTTAAAAAGGAAATCATGCTTCATGTGTGTATATTCCGAGATATTTAAGGACTCCAAATAGCGATCGATCAGTCAGTCAAGAAAAGATTAGTCGATTATTCAGTAATCATCAGCAATCTGATTTTGACTTGACTGGCTGAATCATCGATCGCTGTTTGAAGTTCCTAAACAGATCGGAATACACATAAGGTGAATGGCAAAGGAAACTTTAATAAAGTACAATAAAAAGATGCAAATCATGCGATCTCCACGTGGTGTACTTTGGATAAGGCCCGGCGTTACTTATATTTTAATGTATTTTCAAGTAGTTTTTAGCCAAACTTAATTATTTTGATACTGTTATGCTATATACATATAAACTGATACAATTAATAACTGTTTTGAAAAGGTCTAGATATCGGCTATAAAAATTTACAATAAAAAATGATAATTCCCTTTTTTTTTTTTTTAAGTCAAAGTGATTTTGATGTGACATTCCCAAGATCATTCAAGATCAAGTCATCAGTATCAGTGTCACCACATGATAGATAATTTGGTACCTTACAATTTTTGTATCTGACCAAATATATTACACAATTCTATTCAATTAACTTTAAAAAGGCAATTGATTTAAACAATCTTTTAATATCATCATAACATATAAATAAAAAAAATATTTATGTATAATCTAGTTATAAATAGATTCCGCTTTTATCAGTTTTCCAAAAGAAAAGAGGAATTGCAATAAGGATAATTTTTAACGAAACTAGGAGGGAGGAAGGAGGATGTATTTTCATATCTACCTCATTCTTAGAAGAATATGATCCTAAATCTGATTTATTAATTATTACATTTTCAATTTGAACGATTTACAGAAAATTTGACACTTTTTGATAATTGAGATTTTTTTAGATTAATTATTTAATTAAGGAATATCTCGCTAATGATCTTAATTTTGACATATGTTGTGATCCTGAGTAACTTTGCCTTAACAACTAAATGACGATCTCTTATATTTTCTGAGATTTACAGTAATTTTGTTATTTCTTAAAAAGAAACAAATAGAACGTATTTTTTTAACACAAAGTATATATTTTATTGTACAAATGACATGATTTTAAACTGCACTAAGTATATTCAATCGAATTCGCTATTAATTATCTATTATATAGAATATACGATTATTATATAGAATATACGATTTAAAATATTTTAAAAATATATTATAAAAGAATTTTACTTTAAATTAAAATTTAAACTTATTTTGCAAAATTACTTCCAAAATTTCTAACATTTTTTGAATGAATATTTTTTCTTTGTTAGTTTATGCACAATTTTTTAAGGAAATTTATAGTTAACATCTGAAAATAAGCAAATGTGTTCAGTATTTGATATGATGCAATTTTTTTTATGGAATATCTTTTTTGATTTCATTAATTAATAACGAAAGTATAAATGGACAATTGAATTGATGATTTATGACATACAATTACTTTTTAGATAACTTTGTAACATTTTTCATGATATAGTTGGTTATTGGACAAACTGTTTTTTTACTGAAATATAATAACGCTCACATGTGCCAATTGCTTGACAAATATGATTATCAGAGATCTGAAAAACCGGAAAAAGGAAAATTGAAATTAGTCATGGAAAACAGAGAAAAATGTAAAAATGTCTGGAATTTTGAAATTTCACAATTTCCTTAAATTGCTCTTCCAGATAATTGTCATAATTTTTTAAATATTTGACGTTTATAGTGAAATACATTAAAAATTCACACACTTTAAACGATTTTAATAAAATAATTAAAATTTATATTTTATTCAATATTTTTATTTGATCGCTCTTTTTCGTAATTGCATTTTTTTTCCAATACTAATTTATTTTTATTGGTTTGAATTTGCACCCAAAATTTTACTAAAATTTTACTTGTATGCTACTAACTTTTAGTATGCTACTACCTTTTTTACTAATAATGTTTTTAATAATATAGGCTAGTTTTCTTACAATTTTTTACTTTAAATGTGTTAAAATTTACATATTTTATATTGGAAAATTTTCCATTTTCATCTAGAAAATCTGGGAAAATCGGGGAATTTTAAAATTCATTTTCTGTGGCAACCCAGATATTCTTATTTTAACATTGTACTTTCAACATTTATGAACTTCCTATTTCTTCCGTTTTGTTGTTTGCGATTTATTACAAGAATTCTTAAAGAAATAATGGCAAAAATATAAAATGACGATATCGCATCTTTTTTTACTATTTTCCGTCGATCTATTTATAGCGAATTCAATTAGACACACTCAGTGCGCATTGGTGCACATTAAAGTCGTTATACACAAAATAACATGAAAATATGTTTATAAACATAGAAATTAAATCGTGAAATACTCAATACATTTTATTATACTATTAGGTAAAATATGTATTTCATAATTTGAAATTTGTATTTGTATTTTTATAGTCAAATTAAGTCAATGTACAACGGTTTTAATATGCGTCAATGCGCATTAGTTTCCAATCGGATTCGCCATTATATATCTAATGGTTCAGTGTATCTGAAACAAGAAAAGCATTAAATGGACTTACTTTTTACACTATTTTTATTTGGATAGCTTTTTTACAACACTCACTTCACACAATCTCAGATTATCCAGACATCTTGATGCATTCTCATCTAAAGTAGCATTTATCTATGCTTTTCGATATTAGTCTTCCTTGGGAAATCTGATCAATGTGTATCCTTCACGGATTTATTAAAACACCTTGATACACAAATAATGGCATCGCAAAGATATATAAAATCCAAATCTACAACAAGAGAATTACGTTATTAACGAAACACTTCTAACTTCCGTACTACTTATTTTTAACTATGAAGCGTTTATTCAAAGCTTATTCGTGACAACATATACAATGCTTTTTCTCATAATTTTAAATAGATGTGATAAATTAACTTATCGAAAATAGTAAAAAAACAATAGGCAACACAAGTTGCTCCAACATGTAACACACACGTAGAATTCAGAATAAGTTGAAGTTATGGTACATCTTTATGGAGCACAGATGTGCGATCCAATCCACCCTAGCCAATCAGAATCACCTAGTCACGTGACGAATTAGCGAGTCTTTTTAGGATCTCTACGTTCGGTGGTAAAGTACTGCGCAGGCATATGGCAGCACACGTCATTCGGACGGATTCGACTATTTTCAGAGTGATACGTATCAATGAAATATGTTCGGGTCGCCAAAACATGTGCAATACATACCGAATAAATTCTGTAGTGCAGAGTTCGAGTGATTTTATTCAAAATGCATTGTGCAGTTAAAGGATGCGGAAATTACTATCATAAGACAAAAAATAAATCGGATTGAAAGGAATCGGAAAATTTTTTGAATTGTAAAGCATACGTTCGAATTTCGTGCTTAAGGCTCCTGACTACTCAGCCAAGAATTCTACGTTGACGATGGCAACACAGAATTAGATGGCGAAATCGGTAGTCACATCAAACATGAGCCCATGTCCGTGTGCTCCCCTGCGGCGCATTGAAAGTAAACGAGACAGCGAGCTCTTTCTCACACTAGTCGCTTGTTTCAAGTAACCGAAAATGCTTTCTCATTTTCGACAATCTCGGCGGCTCGGCGGCCCTAGGCATCAATAAAGCGCGGGGGGACATTCTAAATAACATATAAATTTTAATAAATTGTAATAATAGTGTATCCCTCCAGAATAGTATAAATCATGTTAAAAAACGCAACAGTTTACGAGATATTTAATTGTTTAAGATTTTTCATGTGCGTTATATAGTATACCTCTCCTTCATAAACTTGAGTAGCAAGAATAGTTTAGTAGAAATAGAATTTTACTGAAAAAAAATTATAAACCAGCATTTCTCTTCACGAAAGTCTCGAAAGATCATCAGAAATGCATATGTTTGAGACTCGAGACCTGTGAAGAAAATATGCGAAAAAAATCAAATAATTGCAAAAAATTGCACATTTTTTGCTTATAACGAAAGATATTGATTGTATGGAAAAAAAATCGATATAAAAAGATATTCGAAATACCTAAAATGAAACGTGGAACATCAAAATCGATCTATTAATTTAGTATAAAAAAAATAAAAAAACATCTTTTGAAGAAAGTTTTTTTTTTCACTCTCCGTTCATTGAGATTTAAACGTTTAAAAGCTTTGAAATTCTCATAAAATGTAACCCTCGTAATGACGAATCAAATCTAGCCCTGAACAAGTCTGAAATGTTCATTAGCTTTTGCAAAAAGCCATTTATTCACTAAAAACTGTTGGCGGAAAACTTAATTTCTTCATCTTTGAACAGTCGCACAGCAATTTACAGGAGTGATTTTTCTTCTTCAAGAGTTGCACTACACGTACACTTAATAACAAAATGATTTTTTGCAGTTAAACTATAAAACGATTTCAAAAAGTGGGTATCTTTTTTCGTATAAAAAGACGAGAATAATTTCATTAATATACATCATATCAAATACAATAGTATGAAGCATTTGAAATCTGACCTTTTCTACGAATTTAAAAAAAAAGATTATCCTCCGATTATTAGGAGATAACAATTTTTTTTTCAAAAAATCACTGTGGCTCTAGTTTTTAAGATTAAGAGCCTGACACCAATTTGTCAAGGAAGAATTGAATTTATTGTTAAAAAAAAATCTCAACTTGATCATGAAATTTTTAGTTTAGAAAATTTTTTCTTGAATTTTTATTTTTTCAGTTTATTATTAAAAAATCACGTTTGAGTAAGGAATGCATGTCTGATTAACAAATTTAAGTCATATTAACTATGTTTTTTTATTTAATATGCTTTAAAAGTGTCATTGGACAATTAAATGTACGGAATTATCAGTACAAAATTATTTTTGTGAATTTAATTGCAGATACAAATATGACATATGTAAACAAATAATAATTTGCCAATGTTAGCGTAACTGTTAAAAATATAATATTAACTTTCGCAAATATAAATTAGTCATTACATGAAAAATATTATATATTTAAAAATATTATATATTATATATTTTACAACTATATTCAACAGTTACACTAACATTTGACAAATTATTTATTAATTATTTGTTTAAAAACAATTTTGTGATTATTCCGTACATTTAATTGTCCAATTTGACGTTTTTTACAGCATATTAAATAAAGAAACAGCTAATGTATTAATCAGATATGCACTTCATACTCAAACGTGATTTTTTGGCAATACACCGAAAAAATAAAAATTCAAGAAACAAAGAGCTAAAAATTTCATGGTTACAATTACTTTGTGAAACATTTGATTAAGCTATTTGTTTATATCTCGTCGAGCTACGTCAGATTAAGAAAAAAACCATGTTTCCACGTCAATTTTTATTGCTGAGAAAATATAAATTTAGCAAATATTAACGCACGAAATCAGATACGCGCATATCGTGGAGCGGCCCGATCTTCACTCGACTGCGCGCTAGCTTCCCTCACTCGCGTTCTTCAACTTTCCAATAGTTTTAAACAATTTCGATAGTTTAAACATTTTCGATAGCAAAAAAATTTTTTAACAGCAAATTCAATTCTTCCTCGACAAATTAATGCCAGAACTCTTAATCTTAAAAATTAGAGCCACAGATGATTTTTTTTGAAAAAAAAAACAAATGTTATCTCGGCTTCTAATAATCAAAGGGTAATCTTTTTTTTTAAATTAGTAAAAAAATGTCGAATGCTTTACACGGCTATTTGATATAATCCATATCAACGGAATTATTTCCATTTTTTATACGAAAAAAGATTCCTACTTTTTAAGGTCGTTTTATAATAATTTAATTGCAAAAAATCATTTTGTTATTAAGTGTACATGATAATGCAACTCTTGAAAAAAAAATTCTCCTCTAAATTGCTGTATGATTATTCAAAGATGAAAAAATTAAGTTTTTTCGCAGACAAATTTTTAGTGAACAAATGATTTTTTGCAAAAATTAATGAACATTTCAAGCTTGTTCAGGACTAAATTTGTTCGTCATTACGAAGGTTACATTTTACGAGAATTCAAAGCTTCATTTCAAAACTTTAAATATCAATGAACAGAGAGCGAGTGAAAAAAGGCCTTTTTCGATGTTTATTTTTTCTCTACTAAACTAATAAATCGATTTTAATGTTCTATGTCTCATTTTGTAAGTATTTCGAATATCTACATTTTTTATAATTATCACCGAATATCGAATTTTTTTCCATACAATCAATAGGTTTGTTCGCGTCACATGATTCAATATGCTCCCATTTGAATCATAGCTCCTACTCACTCCAATTAGAATGAGTAGGAACTATAGCAGAAGCATGTTGGAGCATGCGACGCGAACAAACCTAATATCTTTTGTTTTATAAGCGAAAAACCTTCTTTTTGCAATTATTCGATTTTTTTCGCATATTTTCTTCACAAGTCTTAGATCTCAAATATACGCATTCTTTTCTGATAGCTTTTCGAGACTCGTGAAGAAAAATGCTGGTTTATAATTTTTTTCCGTTAAAATTCTACTTCTAATGAACTATTCTTGCTACTCGAGTTTATGAAAAAAGGGTATATTATTGGGTTGTCCGGAAAGTTCGTGCCGATTTTGAAGGAAAATTGAAACGTAGAAGATTTAAATTTTAATATATTATACATTTATTTAAATCTTTTGCGGCACTTTCCGGACAACCCAATATATAACATGCAAAATCGTAAACAATTAAATATCTCGTAAACTGTTACCTTTTAATTTGATTTATACTATTCTGAATTAATGGGAAGGATACACTATTACTACAATTACTACAATTAATACTATTAAAACTTGTATGTTATTTAGAATGCCTTCCGCTCCTTATATATGCTTAGGGCCGCCGAGATTGCCAAGAAAGCATTTTTGGTTGCTTGAAACAAGCGACTGTTTCGGTCACTCTAGGCGCGCCGCAGGCGAGCACACGGATATGGATTCGTGTTTGTTGTATGTTACAGCGCCGCATCACGATAAATGGCCGAACTTATAAGCGTGGAAAAATAACATTTTGACGATGAAATTTATGTTGCGTACCATTTCGTTATTATTTGCTTAATTGTGAAAATGTGACTTGTCTCATACTTATCAAAGTAACTATTGATGAAAAGTTATTGGGAGTACAAATTAGTTCGGTTAGTTTTTTTGTGCATTTATTTCAAAACAAAATGAATGAACAGATCAATTAAAGTATTGTCCATCGCTGCCTATTACTTTTTCCCATCTCTTAGGCAATTTTCGAATTCCATCTTGAAAAAATGACTAATCTTTGGAGGCGATCTAATTTTGGAGCTAATTTTCGATTTCTGCGAAAGAAGTGAATCGGTGACTTCCTTCGGAACAACCAATAATCAGAAGGAGCAATGTCCGGAGAATACGGGTGCGGTAAAACATCCCATTTGAGCGTTTCCAAATATTTTTTTACGATTTTAGTGACATGAGGCCGAGCGTTGTCATGAAGAAGAATAAGTTTCATTTCTTTGCTTGTATTTTTCATGTCTTTGCTTGTATTTTTCATGTCTTTGCTTGTATTCCAGTCGTTTTTCTCGCAATACATGATTCAAGCGAATCAATTGTAGCCGATATCGATCGTAATGGAATCGCCAGATTTCAGCAGCTCATACAAGCAGTAAACAAGATCCTTTTGGTCCCACCAGATATAGAGCATGATCTTCGAACCATGAATGTTCGGCTGTGGTGTTGATGTTGAGGTCGATGGCAACGATTGACCGGGCTTAGCGAAGTATTTTTTCTTCTTGGAGTAGAATATCCACTTCTCATCTCCAGTCACAATCCGATGCAAAGAACCTTTTCTCTGTTGTCTTTGAATTAGCTGTTCGCAAGTGAAAAATCGCCTTTCAACGTCTCTCGGTTTCAGTTCATAAGACCTAATTTCCTTGTTTTTGAATCCCCATGGCTCTCAATCGAAACGGCTTGTTGTTGAGTTACTCCCAATGATTCTGCAAGCTCCTCTTGCGTTTGACTCTGATCTTCTTCGAGTAGTAGCCTCTAATTCTTTGTCTTCGAATTTTTTTGACTGTCCAGAGCGAGGCTTGTCTTCAACGCTGAAACCTCCATCCTTGAAACGTCGAAACCATTCCCTACATGATTTATCAGTTGGAGCAGTGTCACCATAAACTTCGACAAGCATTCGATGGGTCGCTTCAGTCGCACTTTCCTTCCAATTAAAGCAGAAAATCAAAACCTCCCGCAAATGTTGCTTGGTTAACACAAAATTCGACATTTCAAGCACAGTAAAAATCAAGGTTTTTGTATGAAACTCAAAGCGATATAAACTAAATATTATTAGCAGATGTTTAACCTCTCTGAAACCGCCAAAATCAGCTGTCATTATAAACCATTCACAACAGCTGGAGCAATCTTTAGGGAAACGGACTGAACTAATTTGTACTCCCAATATGTTGGAATTTTATATGTAAAAGTGTATATTTTACTTGTTTAAACAGCTGTCGGACTATGTGTTTCTGCCCGATACAGCCTCACTTTATGTGCCATTTACTAACTGTCAAGGAAAAAAATTTTTATCAATTTTTACAAGTGTTTTAAAATGATCTTGTCATTTCGTCCAATTGTTGTGTCATTTTATCCAATTGTTTTTATTTAAAAATGGCGTGCAACATAAATTGTTATTTCTCGCTTCTGACGTCACGATTCCAAGACCGCCGCGATTAGTCAGGTATCTTAACGATGACGTTCGCTTGTGAACAATTCTTATTGCTCTAGGAATATGGCCATATATAAGCCTTATCTTTATATTATGGTCCTTATTAAAAACCTCTCTTTTATAACAATATACCATCTCTTTTATAACCATAGTACGATTTTTATAACCATAATACGATTTTGTACCATTCAGTCTTAAAAACTTCCAGTTTTTATATATTTTGTTTTTGTAAATTTTTTTCGCTTTTTATCATTTCTACAATTTTAATAAAAGAAATCTTTTTACCTTTCTATTAATATTATTTTTACGTTTATTAACTTTTTCGATACGATATTATTTTTCGTCATTTTGCCTCTGCTATATAGACAGTCGAATTGCGAATACAGCATTATACGAGATAATTATGATGCGAACGTCACATCGGAGGAACATAGCAATTAAATTTTATTGTGTAATGTAAAATATTGGTGAAAAGAAACCATATTTAAACATGTTTTATAGTAATAACACTTAAAAAATTGTTAAATTATAGTTGTTATTAGCGCGGTAAGCACTAATTCAACGCTGGACGACACGCATAGTCGTCGTAGTATCGAAAGGTTAAAATATATGAATATAATTATAAATATCCAGATACTAAATCTTTTTATATTAATTATACATTTTATAATTGCAGATGCGGCAATGTAGCTGCAATACTGGAACTAAACGAGCATCTACAGAGAGACTTTACGATATTTGAAGCGGCACCACAGGAAAGCCGCGGAATACCCAGCAAGAAGCCACAAGCAGATTATTTTTTATAAACGCTATTGTAGAGTATAAAAGGAACTATCAAAATCAAGTCAAAATTGATTTGAAGAATTTGCTTTTTCTTCTCTCTCACACACACACACACACACACACACACACACACACACACACGCGCGCGCGCGCAGAGAGAGAGAAAGAGGGAGAGATCAGTTTACATTGATTGTGAAGAGCAACTAAAAATAAGTGAATTAAAGAAAATTTTCTATTATTTTTGATGATATTCCTATGATTACGTTGGACCATTTACAATTGGATGGAACTGTGACAGTATGTGTGACTGTAAAATAAAATAATGCCTCAGATTTAAGTCGACATCATTATCTTTCACAACTTAAGTTTCCGAAAATATTCAATATTGTGTAAAGATAAATAAATAAAAACCTTTAATTAAATAAAAACCCTTAAATTAAATTTTTTTATGCTTAATGGAAACAAGTTTCATAGTATTTGGAATCCCAATAGATTTTCCTTTATCCCTCATAATAGTTGACGTAAGGTATTATTTTGCTTGACACAAACGTAGCAAATTAATTCACATATTTTCAGTGTTAATAACTAATTTATACCTTTTATATTCTTTGTTATCACAATAATTTCATAACTTTAAAAGAAAGAAATAATATTAGAGTTGGTAGATAATTCCTAGACAATTCCAGAAATAGAGGAAATCCGGTGTAGAAATATTCTAATACCTGGATGGAAAAATAAAATTTCTACGATGATCGATTCTTGATGAGATTATTGAGTACTTTATTATATAATTTTTTATACAAGATTTGAATCAATGGTTCATCAGCAAATAATTTGGAATGCGATTTATGATAGAAGACTTATAGCACGTTTTTTCTCTCTTCATCAGCTACTCTGAAATTTAAATAGATTTATACGCGAAGCCATGCTGTGACAAATCGTTCTGAGCTCTGAATGCTCTGAAAATCTTGTTCCGATTCTACGCAACTATGCTCCAATTTTATTGCGTGATTATTCTGATATCCGAGAGATACCGCACAGCGAAAAGTGAAAGACAAAGGCCCTGTGCACAAAGGAAATATTAGGAATAGGAATAAATATTAAGAATTCAACTATTTTTTTCTAATAAGTTGTATATGCCGGTGTAATTGATATTTGGTAGATTGAAATCTTAGGCTTGTATTCAGAATATGCTTACAACGATGTTAGCGCGCTAACATGCTATAATTTACATTACGCATACTATAAAATTTTAAAGATAAAAGCGCTTTCTGAATATGGGCCTTAATATTTATTCCTGTTTCAAACATTTATTATAAGAGATTTGTTCGCGTCACTGGAATCAATATAGCAACTGGATGTTCGCGTCGCGTTAAAATATACTTCATGGATTAATTAAGAGCACACTCCATTTACCTCATCTCAAAAGGTGATTGGGGCATGTTACGCATGCATGCGTAATGCGAATGTTGAAAACGTTCTATATTGAAAAAAGATTCAGATTCATTTAATAATGCGTTTTTGATATAAATATAAAAATATAATATAATAATATAGTATAATATTATAAATTAATATAGTATAATAAAATAAAATAAAAATAATAAAATAAAATAAATAAATAAAAAGAATAATTAAATAAAATAAATTAAATTAGAAAAACTAAAAAGTAAAATAAAATATTACAATAAAATATTAAGTGTACAACTTTGCTTCCGCCGTTTTTTCCGAAATTCGAGGCTTTATTGGGAAGGTTCAAAAGATCGGAAAATGGGTGCCGCATGAACTGAACGATAGGCAGATGGAGCGACGCCAAAACACATGCCAAATTCTGCTTGCCAGACAAAAAAGAAAGTCGTTCCTGCATTGGATGGATTGTGACAAGCGATGAAAAGTGGATCTATTTTCAGAATCCTTAACGCAAGAAATCTTGGGTTGATCCTGCCTAACCATCAACATCTTCCTCAAGACCAAATCGCTTCGGACGGAAGACGATGCTGTGCGTTTGATGGAATCAGGAGAATGTCATCTACTACGAGCTGTTAAAACCTGGTGAAACTGTTAATGCTTATCGCTATCACCAACAGTTGATCAAATTGCACCGTGATCTGCGTGAAAAAAGACCGCATTATCGGAAAAAACATGACAAGCTGATTTTCCTCCACGACAACGCACTATCGCACACGTCAACAATGGTCAAAACTATTTGGAGACACTCAACTGGGAAGTGCTCCATCCCGCTTACTCACCAGACCTGACACCTTCTGACTATCACCTGTTTTCGTCAATGGGCGACGCGCTCGCTGAGCGGCACTTCGATTCTTAGAATCGACGTCCGAAAATGGCTTAATGAGTAGTTTGCCTCGAAAGATGAGGAATTTTTTTGGCGTGGTATACACAAATTGCTCGAAAGATGGGAAAAATGTATAATTAGCGAGGGCAAATACTTTGAATAAATTTGTTTTTGCTTCCTAGGAAAAAAAATGTATTTTTCTGACTAAAAAAGCGGATTTAATCATACACTTGGTATACCCGAATGCAGTATAGCAGATATGGCTGTTTTGCATCGACTTCACATGCTAACGTATAATCTTATGAAAGTAGTGTGACTTCATAGCGAAAAATATTGTTTCTTTTGGAAGAGAAAGTGATGTGATCTCATAGCGAAAAATTTTGTTTCTTTTGGAAGAGACAGAGTTCAAGTAAAAAGGTAAAAGGTAATATTGGAAAGACAATTGAATATTAATAAACATGTATAAAAGACGCGATCTTATTCTTATTTCTTATAAATTAGAATAATTTATAACAGCTAGATTATGAAAATAAGTATTTGGTCGTTTTAATACTATTAAATAGATTAACCTAAAATAGTGTGCGTATATGCAGATAAACGTTACGCGGTCACGCGATTTTCGACGCATGCATATAATGTTACCTCAAAATTGGGGACTTTTTCAAATAAATTAGCAGTCTAGTAATATATATAGAAGTCCATGGTCCTAATCGCCTAGAAGTTGCAGCGTAGGCAGTGGAATATTTCTAATCCATGAAAACAGTGAGGTGTGAAAACAATTTTTTTAGAACAGTTTTTTTACTGTCTAGGTTGCAACTTCTAGGCAGTTAAAGGAATCTGTAATAAGGACTTCTGTAATTATTGTTGTTGAGATTAGAAAATCTGTCTTGTAGACAGTGAGATGTATATATAGATTAGTGCTTATTGGCGTAATTACCTCGAACAAAAAAAAAAACATATTTTACCCGTTGGGAACCTATAGATCCTAGATTTTTGTTCGAGGCGGCTACGCCCCGATAAATACTACCTCAACAACAGTACAATTATAGAAGTCGTGCACTTCTTTATTTGCAGGGGGAAGGAAGGAAGGGAGAGTCGCTTCGCGTGGATAATCGAAACTGTAGAACAGCACAGTTATATATCTCATTTTGCCTCTATGATAGATTTCCTAACTTTAATAGTTATCAACTTTAACGCTTAATATTTTGATTCGCGAAGCAAAGTGACTTTTTTCTGCCAGATTCTTTCATTACATGCAAAAACGCGTCGATAGCCTAATTTTATTGATTTTTAAAATAGTTGTGCTAAACTGTATAATTACCAAAACTTTTGCCGTTTTTCTCCGGATAGAGAAATATAGAAATGTTTTTAACCTAATCATTAGATTATCTGATAGAGAGAGATTTCACTGATTAAAACTGAGATTACATCGGCCCGTCAAAACACAATTCACAAATACTATGATACATTTGTGACCGTTGACGCAACATCCAATCATATCAGATTTTAATAGTCATGAATGTAAAAATAACTAAGAACGAGACGTGGACCTCTAAAATCGAATCCCACGTATTCGCGCTGCGGGTTGTACATAGAAATTAAATGTTCATTTAAAGATTTGAAATACGTCGTGAGATAAAAAAAAGGGTAGGGGGCAGGGTCCTTAATCACACATACTATAGAGATTTATTCGCGTCGCATGTTCCAAATTAACCCAGAGAGCACTTGGATCACAGGTAAGGTGATAGTTGAAGCATTTATATGCTCCAATGTTCAGTGACACGAACGGATTTAAGACAAGTGAGTATGTCATTTAACCTAATCCGTGAGACACTTCGTAGATGTCGAACGGATTGGACATATGCCTCGTTTCGTTTCGAGTATTTTATGTTATCTTGATTATTTGAAAAGCGCTTTTATACAAAATAAATTTTAATAATATAGAAGTTATATTATATTTTTATATTATATTATAGTTTATTTTATTGTATTATTATAATATAATTTTATTTTTAAAATTTTTATACTTTTATTTATTTTATTTATTTTTTATTTTATTTTATTTTATT